AATAAAATATAATTTTTTTTGAAAATTGAATATACCCAAAACCATATCAAAGTTTAAGAATTTTATAAATACCTCTCCTCATTTAAAAAATATTACGAAAATTTCTTTTGGATTCTCTTGTATCCAAAATATCCTTAGTATTTTAAAAATCATCCCCTTCAATAAGAAAATCTTAAATATTAAGGATATTTTGAATACAAAAAGTATTTTGATAATATTCTTTAAATAATCTCAATGATTTTTTTAAGAAAATATTCTCTTTGGACTTGGTGGACTTGGTGGTAATTAGGAGTAGCTGCTTAACATTAATGAGTTGAATTGAAACTTTTGGGGATTTTAGGTTATTACAACAGGAAATCTTACATTGAAGGGATGAGTTTGAAACTTGTTGAATTGTATGGGGTCAAAATATAGTCTAAGTAAAAAATCTAATAAAATAAAAGAATATTAAATAGTGTTTGAGATTGTGATATTGTTTTCAGTCTGAAATATATTTATTTTTTAAAATTTATTTTTAATAGCTGTATATTAAAATAATATATAAAAAAATAAAAATAAAATAAAAATAAAAATCACTTTTTAAAAGAAAAAACAAAGACACAGGTTTCTATTTATAAACAAAGGGAAGGGAAGTTGTGCTGTGTCTGCAAATTTCTGCGAGTGTGTGGTTGCAGGCTGGAATAAAAAAAAATGACGGGGTCGGTAAAGGACGTGAAATCAAAGGCTGAGCTTGATAACATAACCAAAAGTGGAGAAGTAGTAATCATTCACTTCTGGGCATCATGGTGTGATGCTTCAAAACAAATGGACCAAGTCTTTTCTCATCTCTCCACTGATTTTCCTAACACCCACTTTCTCACGGTATGTAATGTGAATTTCTTTGTTTGCATGTTGGTGGGTTTTTGTTTTTGTTTGAATTGGTGATGTGGGTTTTGTCTCGTAGATTGAAGCAGAGGAGCAACCAGAGATATCAGAGGCCTTTTCAGTGTCTTCTGTGCCTTATTTTGTTTTCGTGAAGGTATCTTCGTTTTCTTTTAAAGGGGAGGTTTAGAGATTTTTATGTTCTTTTGGGTTGTTATTGATGTTTTGTTAGGAAGTATCCGTATCCAGCTTTGCTGTTGGAAATTTAGGCTGTAATGGTAATCTTAGAAAAGGACATCTTTTGGCTGTGTTAATATTGATTAATTTGCTCTGTTTTGGTGGGTTTCATGATTCTACTCGTTTCTTGTAGAAGGTGAATTAATGAATTGAATATCATGATTCTAATCTTCTCTTGTAGAAGATGAATTAATGAATTGAATTATGTAATTCACTTGTGCAAGCCATTCGTATGGTTTTAAGTGATGATTTGGTGGAGCACTGAGTAGTCTTTTAGCTTGCAGGATTAAGGATTTCTTATTTGGGTCAAAATTGAATCCATGAAGCACATTATTAGAGTCTTTAAAATGAAAAGAGTAATGCCAAGTAAAATCGGTTTTTAAGAACAACTATCTAGAATTCATGAGATACATGGTGCTGCTGGCCCAGGCTTTGAGACAAAGACGAGATGCAGTGGCTTTTTTGTATGCTTTTATTGTGTGCTGTTTAATAATCCCGTGGAAAGATGCTAGTTATTTTATACTCCTGTAAATTTTGGATTAAGTCTGCATCCAACTCATGTGATATTGTTTGTGGGTTTTGCAGCTTAGCTTTGGAGCATTCTTTAAACCCACCTGACTAATCAGGCCACCGAACTTCTCAAAACCAAAACCATTCATTTTCAAAACCTGCCTGCCTAATCATGTAACACAACTTCTCAAAACCAAACGAATTATGAGATCCTTAAAATTGCTAGGTTTGGATTTAGTTGGGCTGAACTGTGCATCCGGCAAGTAGATGGGTATACAATGTCTATTTCTGAGCCATGTAAACCAGAAAAGTTCTTGATATGTAGCACACACTCAAGTCACCATAAAGGGCCTATTTTCATCATCTTTTTATTCCAAGAAATTAGAAAATGACCTGAAAATTTCAATTTGGTACTCTATTTTTTGCAAGATTGTCTACATTCATGTATATATAGCAACCTAGGAATGGATTACTGCTGTTCTAGTCTCCTGAAAACATAGTTCTCATTGTGAATACTAACCAGCCATTTCATGCATTTTCTTCATCAGGATGGCAAGACAGTTGATACATTGGAAGGTGCAGATCCTTCCAGTTTGGCAACCAAAGTCGCTAGAGTTGCTGGCTCAGCCAACCCTGGAGAACCTGCAGCCCCTTCCAGCCTTGGAATGGCTGCTGGACGTACTGTTCTTGGAACAGTCAAGGAGTTTGCCAAAGAAAATGGCTCCTCCCCCCAAGCAAACCAAGCACAACCTGGCCTCAGTGATGCATTAAAAAATCGATTGCAACAGCTGATTGACTCTCACCCTGTCATGCTATTTATGAAAGGGAATCCTGAAGCTCCTAGGTGTGGGTTTAGCCAAAAAGTTATTGATATTTTGAAGGATGAAACTGTGAAATTTGGAACTTTTGATATCTTATCTGAAAATGAGGTTCGTGACGGGTTGAAATTGTTCTTGAACTGGCCCACATTTCCTCAGCTGTACTGCAAGGGTGAGCTTCTTGGCGGATGTGACATAGCAATTGCAATGCATGAGTGGTGAATTAAAAGAAGTTTTCAGATATCATGGAATTGATGCTATTGGTTCCGTTGAGGAAAAATCAAGTGGAAGTGAAAATGGTAAGGGCGGCATTACACAATCTACTGGCTTGAGCACAACCTTGACCTCCAGACTTGAAAGCCTGATTAATTCAAGCCCAGTTATGTTGTTTATGAAGGGAAAACCTACCGAACCAAAGTGTGGTTTCAGTGGGAAGGTAGTTGCAATCCTTCAAGAGGAAAAGGTGACCTTCAAGAGCTTTGATATTCTCACCGACAAAGAAGTCCGTCAGGGGCTTAAAGTCTATTCTAATTGGTCCAGTTACCCTCAACTGTACATCAAAGGTGAACTTATTGGCGGATCAGACATCGGGCTGGAGATGCAGAAAAGTGGGGAACTTAAAAGGATTTTGGTTGGGAAAGGGATTGTTCAGAAGGAGACTCTAGAAGATCGCTTAAAGAGCCTGATCACTTCTTCGCCAGTGATGCTCTTCATGAAGGGCACCCAAGATGCCCCCACATGTGGTTTCAGTTCCAAGGTTGTGAATGCCCTGAGGGAGAAGGGTGTCAGTTTTGGGTCCTTTGATATTTTATCAGATGAGGAAGTGAGGCAGGGACTAAAGGTCTTCTCAAATTGGCCAACCTTTCCTCAGCTTTATTACAAAGGTGAGCTAATAGGCGGTTGTGATATTATACTGGAGCTGCGAGACAATGGAGAACTAAAACCCACCCTATCTGAGTAGGGTTGACATCGATTCTTTCAAATAATGACCAGCCAAACCTAAATTTTCTACTCATGTTAGTGGTGTCTGTTGATGTTATACATGAGCGATGAGCCTGAAGATTGCACAGTATACTTTCTTATCAATGTTCTGATGCCTTGCTTGGTTTTCTGATGGATCATAGATTTAAGCTATATTATGAAAGTTTGTCTTGCAACGTGGTTCAAGTGGTATCAAGTATGATTTGGGTTGCTTTTACGATGGATGAATCTAGCTGGTAATATTGTAGGGTCCATGCTTTCAATGGCCCTCTCGCACAGTCCTATTGTCATTTGTTAGTGCTTTCAACTTGCTCGACCTTTCCTGTTTCCTACCATCGTGAAGGGTTGATCTGTTGTGTCAGATTTGCTCGTTAAATGCAGTCTTAATGGCCAGAACAAATAGTCAGAGGTGACAGACATGGGGTAAGATTGGTCGAACAGAAGGGGAGATAAGTGTTCCCGTAACTGTGACCAAAGTCTGAACGGTGGTTTTGGGCTCACAATACATGACATGTGCTTGGCTGCTTGCTTGGGCATGTACATGCTTTCCTTTGCAAGATGAAAGATAAAGGTTTCATCACATGGTCATATTGCCAGTTCAACTGAAATCACATACACAGACAAGTTTTCCTGACTATTGATTGTTTGACGAGGTAGAAACTCCAGAAATTCAAGTTGGAAGCAGAAAATTACAAAATCGATTTATTTCGTATGAACTTCTATTCACACGAGGATTTTTCATGAACTCTGACAAATTCATTATGGAAAAAAAGAAAGAAGCAACAGGTGCTTAATAATTGCGCAGTTTCTTCGCTTAAAAATCCAATTTTAAAGCAAACAAGAAAGCACAGATGATATTGAAAACCAATAGAACATAAAATTTGTACTTGAGGAGATTTAAAGAAAACCTCAAGAGATCATAATATCTTTTAAGCTGGTGATAGGTTGAAAATGAATTGATGTGATTACTGAGAATCATAAGCATTTATAAAGCATTTATAAAACAAGTAATCTGCAAGTAAGGTTCTAGTCTAGCGGTGGGAGGGACTTGTCCTCTTCTTCCGCACCTGGATTCGAGCTTTGCTATGCACGCCTGTCACTCTCGCGGTGCCTTACCTGCTCACTGGGCTTACAGGATGTTCAATGAGCCGTGAAGATTAGTCGTGGTGCGCGTAAGCTAACCCGGATACCCCACGTAAATAAAAAAAAAAAAAAAAACAAGTAATCTGTTGAATTCATGGACCCTATGATGCTAGAATTTGTAACGTTGCAGGGGAAACAAAGTCTTAGAGGCTACAAGGTGTCCATCGTTACAGAAAAATGATGAAAAAGGTGATAAGGATGCTGAAAATATTAAGTTGTAGCCTTGCTTGGTTCACGGAAGTTTATATATCTACATTTGGTGAAATACATTCTGGTTTTGTGGACTTGGATCCACACCCTAGCCCATTTATTTTTAGGCTTAGGTCGTGTCTGGTATTTTGAGTCTTCGACATGAATCATGCCTCGCATTCTGTCTTAGAATTTACCTTCTTGAATGTGTCAATTCTGGCTTTGTTGCTAGCTTAAAATCTAATGTTTGCATTTTTGAAGTTTTTAAGCAATAAATGCTACAAAGAAAAAAAGAACCAAGTACAAGGATGGGATTATCTCCTAACGAAACACTGTAAGTAGTTTTTAAGGGAGAAGGATTGTCTTCCACCTTTAATTTGTGTGGGGGTATAAATCTATCTTCAAACCAGAGAGAACGGGGAGACAGCAAATCCCAAGCAGCACTCTAGCCAATGCATTATGCATGGAATAAGGCTGTCGATAAATTAAATGGACCAAGCATATAAATAAAACCCATCAAGATTAGCTCGAACAATTTCATATGGACAGCTGGTAGCAAGCAAGGGAATAATCTTGATAAATTTGAACTACCAATTGCTTCAGCGCAACTAGACAGACAAAATGGAGTGCTGCACCAGTTGCATGATTCTCTCAGGAACAAACTTGATTTGAATACGGGAGTTATTGTGGTTCTCAATGGAATAACATTAAGGCCTTATGTTGTTGAATTTAATTCTGCATCATGCTCAAGATTTTCTTAGTTTCTTCGTCCTCCTTTATCTTGTAAGTTTTCATGGCGTCCAACAGTCCATGCACTTCTTTCCCAGCTCTTATATGTGCCTTCAATACAGCATGATACATTTCCCTGTTCATTGGGATGACATTCTTCAACGAGGACACAAAAGCTTCTGTGTCTTCAGCACTACCTTCATCACCAAGCCAACTCAAAATGCCACTGATTACCTTTTGATTTGGCTTCCATTCTTTATTCTCCTCGTATAGGCAGAGGGCAGCCTTCATACAGCTGAAAGCTTTTGCCACCTCATTTTTGTCAAAGAATCCTGCAGCAACTTTGCCCCAAATGTTTGGGAGAGTCGCCTTTCCTTTCTCGGTCAAGTTCTCAAGCAGTGCCTTTGCTTTCTCATACAAGCCTTTACCAGAGTACCCAATAATAAGGGTATTTGGCACCCGAACATCATAAAAATTGCCGGATGATTCCCACTCTTTTAGCACTTTCTCCACTTCTTCAAACTCATCAAGCTTCACTAGAGAAGCCATAATGTTGATATAATCCTTGTTTATAGGCCTTCCACAAGTAGATTTCTCCAGATCCCACAATCTCAAAACCTCAGTCTTCTCCCCTAGTGTGGCATAGAGTGAAATCAGATGATTGTAACCAGTTCCATCTTTCTTATCTAGCCTTGTTTCTGATTTTTTCAGGGAATCAATGGCCTTATCAGTAAGGCCACCTTTGATGTAAGAACTAGCAGCAACAGCATATGAGTTCCAGTCCACAACAATGTCCGGTTGGTGCTCCATCTCATTCAACATCTTTTCCATTCCCTCAAGGTCACCTCGAGCACCATAGGAATTCATGCAAAGTCTGTAGCTGAAGTTATCAGGTGAAACATTTTTTTCCTTCATCTCATTTAGGACCTGAGGAACCTTCTCAAGCTGGCCAACATTCGTGTAGAGGCACATAATGTCATTGTAAGAGAGAGATGATTTGGCAAAGCCCATCTCTTTCATTTTCTGCAAATGCGAGATGGACTTATCAGTTTCACGCTTCTGAACATAACAATTCAGAAGTGCACCGTATGTCTTTTCATTTTTATCCTGGTCCCTCAGGTTATTGAAATAGTTCTCAGCAGAAACAAGCCCATGAACTCTACCAATCAAATCCAATTGAACAGCATGTTGACTTGGTGAGAATATGCAAATGCCCTTTTTATTCATCCACTCTGACACCTGCACCCACAAAGTGCCACAAACTCAGAGGCAATAAAATATAAGTATATATTACCTGAACAAAAATTCTAAAGAATAGCAGATTAAATTAAAAAGTTCTTTGGTAGCCAACATTAATAACAAAAAGTTCAAATGAATTAAAAAAAATTATGCTCTCATTTACCTCCATTTATAAACATTGCATCCTTTATCAACCGGAAAAAAAAGAACATTTGTATGTGTTTTCATAAAGAAAGATATATAGATTAAAAAGGCAGCAATCCATCCACCAACACGGTTGAGATGCACATACGGTCAAAATCCATACAAAGCCAAGCATTTTTTATGTGAAAACTCATTTTGAGGAAAAAGTCCAACATAGCATTGACCATTAAGCAAAGTGATCGACAATTAGTTTAATGTTCAACCTTCCTTTCTTTTCCTTTCCTACATTTTCTCAGCAGCCAAATAAAACCCAAATCAACAAAAAACAAAGAAGGAAAAAAAACCCAAAAAGAGAAAAACCTGAAGGGCGTGAGTGAACCGTTTTCGCATGCGAAAATCGTGGATAATGCGTTGAAGCTCGGCAACCTTGACCTTCTTTCCGCTTTGGATCCAGCTGTCAAGCTCAGGCTCCAAACTTGGGGTGCTTCCTAAAGGACTGAGCTTTGAGTACAGGGTAGCTTTATTAGTTTTGTTGGTGTAGTAAGATCTGGAAATGATTGCATTTTGAGTTTGGATTAGGGTTTTAGAGATTAGTTTTGTGTTCATTGTTAGGGTTTCGCTGCAAAGACAGGGTAAAAGAAACAGCGGAGTTTTTTCTTTTCCTGCCATGAGGGTTTAAGAGAAACGGGTCTTGGAGCTCGGCTGGGCTTTTATTGGGCTATCAGCGGTAGATTCCAAAGCCCGTATGTTTGTAAAAAAGTCGTTTTTTAAAAAAAAATGAATTTCAAACAAGTGAATTCTAAAAAAAATAAATTTATAAAAAGTAAAGTATTTTCCGATATTTGGCAGTGTTATGGAAAATGAACTGGAAAATAATTTATTAATATTTTATTTTTCTCAAATTTATTAAAATAATAAGAAATAAATCTTACAAATTATTTTACAATTGATTTTTTTATGATTTCTTCTTCTTTCTATTTTTTCTTATAATATTTGATCATCATTCTTTTAATTGTTATTTTTTTATTTTAATAAAGCTTCTAAATTTATATATTTTTCTCAAATTTATCATTTAATATTAAATTAGTTATGAATCGAGCTTAGATATAAGATTTCACTAATTATAAATTTAATAGATTAATTCAACTTTAAAATATTCGTCAAGGTTTGTTTGTTTTTTAAAACTCATGTTTTTTTAAATTTTATTAGTATTTATTTGCCAAGGATTTGGGCTATATTAATTTTTTTATTTTTTTTATATAAGATTTTTCATTGAATTTATAAATAACTTGGATTATCTTGAATTTTTTTATTTATCATTCTTTATTAAATTTAGTTTTTTCACAATAATTTTTTTAATTAAATTAATTAATTAATTAAATACATGAAATATTTATTTTATAATATTTTATTTAATTTATTTTCTAGATTGTTGTTTTAACAACATGCGTGGTATAATTCAGTATTATCATACAACCTTTAATAGTGGTATAAAAATCACCTTAATGAACTCTTTTTTTTTATTATTATAAGATGGTGTCACCGCGGAAAATAATGACTTTCGAACATGTCTTTTCTTCTTCTTCTTCTATATATATATATATATATTGATCCAACTTATAACATAACGCTAACCACCTATCTAACTAGAAACTATAAATCTATAACCCAATTCAAAGCCAGGTTATGAGTTTTGAGTTGGATAAAAAGATATCGAAAAAAAAAAACCATATACAAGAAGTCATGGGTTGTGACCAATTTAACTACGAGGGGAACTACCTAGCTGTCCTGGTTATAACATAGCAGTAACAACATTCGTAGAAGAAAAAACGCACACAAGAGACCTAGACAAAGGCATAAACCTACTTCAAAAACTAAAGCTACAGGCATCTCTCTCTCTCTCTCTCATCAAGACAATATTACAAATATTTAGGGAAAAGTAAAACTAAACACTAAGCAATACACTGGAGAAGGAGACCCGCTGAGAGAGCACTCCTAGGCCTTTGCTAAATTCTTTTAATTTCATCAGAACTTAACATAGCCTCCTGGTTTTGTTCTGGTGGTTTCCCATGTATTGAGTAAGACAGTCCAATAACTTAGTTTCTAGAGCCTTGAATTGTGCTATTTGGATTTGCAGTTCAAGTTTCTCTCTTCGAAGGTTCTTGTTCTCCGCCATGAGCATCGAACAAGTAGTTTCTTCCATGTCAAGTGTTGCATTCTCTTGATTAGAAGAAGCCTTTAAATATGTTGGAAACATACTAGGCTCACATTTTTTCCGAATGATCTCGACTAGCATGTGCCTCCTCCCTTTCTGAAACATTTCATGCTTGAATTCCCATTGCTTCGATGATGTTTTCTTGAATCCCTGCTTTAATTCAGAGGATTAGATTCACTATAAAATCACAAGGTCATGAGATTCATGGCACCGAGCCTAAAATGTTGCCATCCTGGTTTGACAGAAAGACATGTACTAAAGCACCAAGGCCCATTTGGATACCAAATTACATGAAGAAAATGTTTGGAGTGTTTTTGGAAATTTTTATTTTTATTTTTTGTATTTTTAGATTGTTGTGATATATTTTTAAATAAATAGTACTTTATACTTTAAATAACAGTGTTAACTACACTCTTAAACATACAGAAATAGACAAAAAGTGAATCCATATATAGTAGCTTATACGTAGATCATAAAAACAGTATAACCACTAGCCTGTGGTGCTTGCATAAATTGAAGTGCAGGTTTCTAAAGAAAAAATGGGGTACAGGTTTGCTCCCTAAAAACAGTCCTTGTCAGAAGAGAGAAAAACTCGCTCTGACCCACATGATTGAATTGTAAAACTCATACAACAACTACATTAAACTTAGCACGACTTTGTTTACCCTGTACTTTAAGCAGTCAAATATGAACAATCAATCACCTCTGATCATGATAATGCATAGTGTTCATCGATAATCCTTAACTTGGATCAGATCGTTAAGAAAAAGTAGGCAAAAAATATTGTAAAACTCCCATTATGTCGTGCTAAAAAGAATTTCCCTATATATTATATGGTGAACCCTAAAAGAAACTAACTGCAAAACAAAAGGGGATCATTTTTGCCTAGAGGAAAGTTGCTGGCACCTGATAGGAAGGCATAGCATTAAATGTTGAAGAGATGAAAGCATACAGTAACAGTAATTACTCACATAAGTGTTAAGCTGACGGATGAAGCTGGAGAAGTTGCTGTGCTTGAAGTATCTAGGCAAAGTGAGCTCTGAGAACTCAGCTGGAGACCACACTACAAACCCATTTCCCTCTGCATTCCAAGAAGCAATTCTCTTACCATGAGGAGCGCTATCATGAGCCCCACCTTCTTCTAGCAAGTCGTAAGTCTTGGATAAAAATGGAGCAGGGCATTTTGTTCTTGGAGACCTGGTGTTGCTTGAAGAACTCTTGCTTGTTGTGTCTTGTTCAAGCTGAGAGAAAGTGGCCGCCATGTTTTAGCTTATTTATGATATCCAAAAGGTTTCTCTAATGTCGAGGCTTTCTACTTGTATCTTCAACTCCGGCCTTGGGAAACTACTAGCAGCGAGGAAGGTGGAATGTTTCTTTTGTACTCTTTCTTTTTTTAATTTAATTTAAATATTTTCTTATCCTTTTGTAACTTTAGGTGCATGTAACTTTCTTACGTTGGAAGGAGATAATCATTGGAGATTGTATGGGACTATCTAGAAAATGGGCGACAATTCAATTTAAAAAAAAAAACTGGAGTAAAAAAAAGGAAAAACTGTTTAAAAGTTTCAGATGTAATACTTCTCAATTTATAAAATTGAAAAATTAGTTTCTTAAATCTATATAAATGAAAAGAAAACATGAACTATACGGTTTTTTTTTCTTTTATTAACTATATACATATATAGTTTCATAAGTTTAGTTTTTATTGTAAATCTATTATGAAGATTTTTTTAGTTAATAATACAATTTTTTTTCATTACAGTTTTTAATTTGAATGAAATAAAATTTAGATATAAAATAGTAAGATTATTATTATTATAAATTATGGTTTTGATTTTTATGAAGTATACAATTCTCTAGTTATTTATTAGAAAAGAAAAGGAAAAAAAAAACTAAAATGAAAAAGAAAAACTGTTTTATTTTTTTTATCAATGAACACGCCCATATTATTGATGTGATATCCTCAATTTATTCCCATAAAATAAATAAAAATAAAGTGAACATATTTACTAATCCCTCGGTCAAATAAATACAAAATTAATCAAAAGAAGGGCCGGGAACTCTGACCTTACTTTAGAAGTCCCTACAAGCTATATTGTCTGCCTATGCCATTATTGAATTGTTATTCCCTGTATGACTGTGACCACTACATTTGTCCGAACTTATCAAACTATGCACGTCTCCTTTGATCGGTACAGTGTGGAGCAGCCATTTATGATTTAAAGTAAAAAGTTAAAAATATATTAAAAATATATTTTAAATATAGAGTATTAAAATATTTTAAAAATAAAAAATATTTTTAAATTTTTAAAAATTACAGTTTTAAATTTTTAATCACTTTTTCAATTACAATCATAATTTCAAATTTTAGTTGGGTCTAAGTTTATTTTTAATCATTAAAAGAGTTAACTTAATTAATTTTAGATATTCAATAAATTAATTCATTATTAGAGTGAAAATTAGTTAATTTCTATTTTAAGTTTTATTCAAAATAATATTATTATGGATTTTTTTAATTTATAAAAGATAATATCATTTTAAATGATAAAAAACACAATAAATTTATATCAATTTATTAACTCGTTGATTAACATATTTAATTTATAATCAAAGACTAAACCAAATCATAAACCGAACTAGATTTATAACTATGCACTTATCCTAAGTCGATAGAAAGTATTGGGAGGCCATAAGATGTAGCATGTTTTACTCCTGAAAAGTTTACAAGCATGTACGTTCAAGAAGATTAGGAGATTAAGCTCCCTCTGAAATAGGATTAGCAAAATGGTTAGAGGGATGTCCTTCTTGAGCTATTAGAATTCAAAGTAGTGAATTTTTGTTTTATAAATTTTGATAAATTTAATATAAACGGTCTGTCTTTAAATATAAAAAGAGATTTAGATCTTTACCGGTTTTTATTTTTTATTTTTCAATGTGAATAGTCTATCTTTAACATAACTTCAAATACAAATGAAACAATTCATCCTCAATTTCTGGGTTTTCATATTTAAAAGTATAATAAAAAAATATTTATATTTTCACATATTTTTAACTTATCAATTTGAGATGTTTAAAAGTATAATAAAAAATTATTTATATTTTCACATATTTTTAACTTATTCATGTTAAAATAAATTTAAAAAATAAAAAATATTATTTTAATATATTTAAAAAATTACAACTACTTAAATTTAAAAAATTACAACTACTTAAAAAAAAGACTTTGAATGGGATTGTTAGATTATTCTACAGCTGGAGGCAGACATGATTTGACAGCTGAAGTGGTTAGGTGTTCACCGATCCACAAAGTGCCTAAAAAGGCCACTAATAGCCTCCATTTATCATCTTGCTTGCCCTTTCTCTTGAGGCCATACCTGTCAATGTCATGCCCTATCCAAAAGAGTTTTTCTTTTTCATTTTTCCTCAACTTCAAAGCAATTTGCCACCAGCACGGCAGAGACTTCGGGAAATTCCTCCGGAACTGCTTGAAAGGGA